CCTGAACTCTGGGCCTGGGCGCTGTCCCTCAGCTCTTCAGCTCAAGGCTAGCGCTCTACCACTTGAGCCACAGCGCCACTTCCGGCTTTTTTCCTTTTGCTTATATGGTGCTGAGGAATCGAACCCAGGGCCTTGAGCATGCAAGGCAAGCGCTCTACCACTGAGCCACCTTCCCAGCCCCCATTGATTCCTTCTTATGGCCTCCCACGAGTTATCCAAGCTGAGAACATCTCTCAACCTCTGACTGTCGCTAACAATAACAAATGAACAAGCAAACAAAATGGTAATAAAACCTAATTCAGCATCCAATAAAAATTTCATTATGCATTATTGTTTGTTGTGGTTTTTTTTTAAGTGAAAGTAAATTAGTAGCTTAAAAGCAGGGCACCTGGAACTCACCCCTGAATAATCCTACCTACTCAGGAAGCTGAGATCTGACTCAGGATTTTGATTTGAAGCCAGCCTAGGCAGAAAAGCCCTGAGATTCTTATTTCCAATAACCACCAAAAAGCTGGAAGTGGAGCTGGGTAGCACACAAGTCTTGAATGAAAGAGTTCAGGGATGGTGTTCAAGCCCCAGGACTGACAAGAAAGAAAGAAAGAAAGAAAGAAGAAAGAAAAAGAAAAAGAGAAAGAGAAAGGGAGAAAGAAAGAAAAGGAGAAAGCACACTTACAGGTACAATTAACACAAACTAATGTCAATTATGAATTCTTAAGTAATCACTCAAAAAGAAGTCTGCTCAGAGACCTTACATAAAGTTTGTTCAAGTAACAATACACACATGCATACACAAAAATTTTATAGTGAGTTATTTACAAAACAGTCCACAAACTGGACTTCACTCGTGCCTGGAGCTCTTGTCTGAACCAGGGGGAAATCTAGCTTTTCCATCGTCTTCCTAGGCTTATTAGGCAAATTTCCTGGTGCTTCCGCAGGGGAAGGCTCACTAAATTCCCCTCTCTGCCAATCTCTAGCACAAGGATCCCCAACTTCTCCACGTTAGAAAACAAACATACAAACTCATTTCTCTTTGGAAGTCGTCTTCTGGGTTCACAGCTTTCTTCTGGTCCTTATTCTGCTGAGGAGTTGGCTGAGGTTCACTGATTTCGGGCACCGGTCCGAGGGTCACATCCAGCCTTTCAACCCAATCTAGATCCCGCTTGAATTCATCCAAACACTGCTTCAGTCCATTCTAGGAGAGTCAGACGCTACACTCATCCAAGGTGCTGGTAAGCCAACAAGTCAAAGCCTTCATCCCAAATACCCACAGTCATCCACCCCGGGAAATGCGCAGGAGGGATCTTTCCCGGCAGAAGAACCGGATTTTTGCACGGCAGTGCCCGGTGATCACCCCATCTCCCAATACCCCCCGTCCGGCCCCCGAACTAGCTCACCACGTTGTTCACGGCCTTCTTCGGCCCCTCTAGCACGACATTGAGGCCTGGCTTCAGAAGTCCGCGGGAAAATGCATCCTGCAACTGCAGGACACAGGCGCGGTCAACACCGGAGCAACCCAGACGCCGCCCGCGCCGCCCCCCACGCTGCTGGACGAGGTGGAGCCGCTGGACCTCGAGAGCTTGGCCGCCTGGAGCGACGAGGACGACTACACTTGGTACTGACGAGTTCCACTCCAGTCCCGGAGACCCCGACCTTGGGGACCCCTAAACTGCTTGGGAAGAGGGGGGACGGGTGTGTGTGTGCGTGTGTGTGTGTGTGGAAACCTCGCGGCCGCCTGTATCCTCTCCCCACCCCAAGTTCCGGATCACGGTGGCCTAGCAGGTGCCTTTTCACGGATGCAGAAGCCAGCTTTCTGATAACGCACATCGATCCCAGGGTGGATGGACTGGCCCCACCATCTGCCTGGAGATGGCTGTTCGGGTCCCCAGCTCCTCATTAGCATGAACTGCAAAATCCATGCCATCTTGTCCTGATGACCTATTCTGCTATTTCCCCCATTCCCCCCCCCCCATCCCTGTGTGTGTGGGGAGGGGGCATGGAGGTGGGGTTTAAGGACGGGAATTAGTAGCTTCTTTCAGCAATTTTTCTTTTTCTTTCTTTTCTTTTCTTCCCGCCCCCACCCCGCCCCAAACGAATGTGGGATAGGATTGGCATCTGAAGCCACCTAGTGATGGATCTCTTCCTCAGAGAGAGATTCCAGTTTGCATTTGAAGTTGAGCAGTGCTCTACCCTCCTTTGCTGGATTTTCACTGGTAATTTTTTTGCAGACACTGACTTGCTTTCCTAGATACGCTTGACCTCACGATCTTTCCCATCGGCGTTGGTGTCAGAAAAGACACACTTATTAGAGAAGGCATTGGGGCGGGTTTGAAGGCACTTAAATTAAAAAAAAAAAAACAAAAAACCAAACACCCTAGGATCCAAGTAAGTTGTAGATTGAAAAATGCAATTAGAGAAACTTTCTGTTTAGAAACTTGCAAAGTTGGTTAGCAGAAAACTTGTGACTGTCAGTATTGGTTCAGCTGTGTTGTTACCTTTGTCTGGTTTTTGTTTTGATTTGTTTTTGGTGATTGACTAGGTTTTGGACATGAAGTTACCTAGTTCCTTGATTATGTGTTTTTCTCACCGATTGCTGGTGAGTAGGGGGTCATTAATAGACTGACTTTTTTTTGGGTCGGTTGTGGGGCTTCAACTCTGGGCCTGGGTGCCGTCCCTGAGCTCTTCAGCTCAAGGCAAGTGCTCTAGCCCTTGGACCACAGCGCCACTTCTGGTTTTCTGGTGGTTAATTGGAGATCAGAACATTCCTGCCTCGGCTGGATTTGAACTGCAATCCTCAGATCTCCGTAGTGGAGTAGCTAGGATTATAGGCGTGAGCCACCCGTGCCCGGCTAGACTGATTTTTTTTTGCTTGGTTTGTATGATTTCCTTGGTCACTAGACATAGACATACATACATACATACATATAGTAGGATATAACCAGATGAGTTGGAACCTGAGTTCCCAAGGGAGGGGAATGGCACTCACCTCAACACAGTAGTGACTTGATGACTAAGTTGTCCTTTTATTTAGGTCCTTTCCTATTTTCCCAAATTGGGCTTCCTCACTATGCCTGTCTTGTTGGGTGACTGCAAAGGAGGGAAACTAGAGATGGAGAGCCTTGTTGGTTTGCTATTGGAAATTCACTCATAGGTGACAATTGGCAGTAAAGTACACTAGTTGGTTTGATTGAAAACTGTCCTCAGCTTTCCTAAGGCATACCCACCATCCTTCTTTGTACTTCACTTTTATGAAGATGTGGACAGTTAGGTGAGACAAATCAAGTAATCATCCTTCCTGGAACAGTTTGAAGCAATTCATTAGAGGCTAGACTTTAAAAGAAATTGTTTATTGTTTTGTTATTATTTTTGTGCATCTTTGGCTTTATTATTTGGAAAATAGTGCGAGGGTGGCTTTTACATATAAGCCCGATGCTACTTTCAAATTGGAGAGATTTAGACCCTTCTTGGCCTTTTTAGATGATATACTTGAACAGTGTGAGGAAACTTGTTTTTTTTTCTATGTAGATACAGAGGAATAAACCCCAGCTTTGAAAAAACTCACTAAAAATTTTGTTGTCTTATTATTTAATAAGTGTATTTGGCTTATAAGGTACATATATAATTTTAGTAGTTTCTTCTTTTGATTTCTACTGTGTTTAGTTATCCAACTGTTCCTAGTACTGTCATGTAGGTTTATGGTTTGCCATTTTATTGGTTTATGTATTACTGGCATTGCTAAAAAAGAGTCTGATTAGCACATTAGATTTTCAGATGGTTTTAAGTTATTCTAAATTAAAGTAGCTTCTGTTGATTTCATTCATCAAATATGCAGGTGAATAAATCAAAGCCTCAATACTTTATAAATACTTCTGTGGCCATATGGCACACTATTTATAGAGCATCTCCCTTAAACATAGGAATAGACCTCAGGTGGATAAACAAGGAGAGATCATTAATCTTGGTGAGATGCATGTGAAAATGTTAAGGTCACTTGATTTACAGAAAATTTGTGTATCATAACATTTTGTATCTTGTTTTTGTATTGCAATTTTGGCATCTTGCAACATTTGACATTATGATGAAAAATATTTGCATATAAAGTATGTTTTATAGTTAAAATTACTTGTTGCTCGGTGTGGTAATACAAGTTTACTTAGGAGGCTGAAATTTGGAGAATCTTAGTTTCAGACCAGCCCAGGCAGAATTCTCTAGACTCCAAAATGGGTAGCAAAAAGTAGAGCTAGCAGTATGACTCCAGTGGTAGATTGCCAGTCTAACAAGTATGAAGCACTGCTTCAAACCCTAGTACCTCCAGAAACAAAACAAAGGGTAACAAATACTTGTTAGTGTTTACAAAGCACTAAGAAGTTTTTTTTTATCATTGTAAAGTATCCAAATCGGTATTCTGTATTTTCACAAGAGTACTTTTCATTTCATTACCTAATAGATTTATAGGATGACAACTTGTTTTCATTTCCTATGTACACTAAGAAACAACTACTGAGTGTATTGTTCCTGGTGATTTAAAATATATTTAAACACATGAAGTATGTTATATGCATATATGAAAGTGTTGCAATGAAACCCCTTTGTGCAATTGGTATACACTAATGAAAAGGTAACTTAAAACTAGAAGTATGTATAAACTCACAAGTACAACTCCTTTCTCTTGCTCCAATTCATTATTATGGCTCAGAATCAATCCTATAAACATTCTGTAGATGCTCAAAACAAAGAACAAAAATCCCCTATAATTATATAAGTCATTATGCAGATAGATACATGGCAGGATTTTTACACTTACTTTAAAGCATTCAAACATATCTTAGACATCTTTGTAAATGTAGCTTCCTACATTTACACACCGTGTGATTACCTGTAATCACCAGAGTACAATCGAAGGACATCAGATTGGTGGGAAATGGAACCATCAGCTGCCTGCCAGACCTGGCTCAGCTGCTCAGTTCAACATGGAGAGACCTAAATGACTTATGTGAGATTCAGTAGTTGTTTACTAAGAGTTTCAACTAAACTTTAGGTTGTGTACACAGGTTCACAAGTGTTATACCATGGACATTTCCTCACAAGCAGGGTTATGACAATCCAGTAGATTATAATTTAGTGCATTTACCAGCATAAAAAAAATGAAGTGCAGCAAAATAAAAACTGATTAACTTGTTCCAGTTCTACACGTGTGTCCTAAGTAAATACATTTGTGTGTTACCGTCAAAGTGAGAAATGATCCAGTTTCTTTGTGTTGTTTGATGGAGTAATGGATTCAGAGAAACAGGTGAAAAGGGACAGCTCTTTGCAGATTGTGTAGCACCTTGGAAAGTCAAATCCTAGACACAAATCAAGAAGACAGACATTTTTTAATATAATAAAATGCCAAGAAATGGCCTGTCAATAGAAATACAGCATTTACAAGAGGGTTTATTTTAGTGTAGTGATAATTAATAGAATATTGAGACTGTGGGAATATGGCAGGAATTTCAAATGTGCCCAACTGGAAGGGGCAGGAAAATTATACAAGGGAAAATGTACACATTAAGGGAGATTTAATGAATGAGATGTTCATCTTCCTCGTTTAATACCAAGACCCCAGACAGCTGGCTAAAATCATTGCCAATTTTTCATCAAAGCTGGTGAACACCTTAAACTGTACATATGGCATGTCTAAATTAGCCCACCTAAACTGTTTCTTTTGCATAATTGATTTTCAGTGAAAAGACCAGAGGGTGCTTCACTTCCTGACAACGCTAATTGAAAAATGTTTAATGTTGTGCAAGAGCAAATGGAGATGACTGAAGTATATGAGATTCTTTTTTTTCAGTGTGTGTGTCAGTATAGGGCTTGAACTCAGAGTCTGAGTTCTCTTGCCAGGCTTTTTGGCCGATTGGCTGGTGCTCTACCAGTCTTTAGTCCAGTATTTTGCTAGTTAATTGGAGATGGAGTCTCAGGATGTCTTCAAATCTTGATCATCTAGATCTCAGCCTCCTAGTAGCTAGGATTCTAGGTCGAGGCACCAACTCCCAGCCTTAGTTTTGTTCTCTCAGTTTTAACCTGTGTAGTGGAGGTCCAGAATGTGAAATGTGTATATTAGAATGATAGTTTCTAAGCACATACTTTTGGAAGGTATTGGAGACAAGTTGAAGGAAATTAGACTGTGACATTGCAGGTGGTAGTAGTTCTAGTATTTGAAGAAATGTGATGAGGTCATTTGAGGCTTTCCAGATATTTTGACACCATTCAGCACACCATTAACGAAACTACTTAAGTGTAAGAGGAATTTGTTAGCCATAGCAGGATCTTTGCATGTGATAGCAAGATAGGGTACTGTAAATGTCAGTGGCACTGTAACAAAAACAAATATGGTGATTCTGAGTCCTGCTTAGAAGGTTAGAATCATTTAAGGGTAACATTCTCCTTGCTTTTCTAATCTTGGGAGGGATATTGTACTCAAGGGGTGCAAAACTGCAGGATCTCCGTAACTTTCCCCTTTTCTTTATTTAAGTCTAGTTCTAGGTCTCATGGTGGAAATAGTAGGCTCATATATGTGAACTTGTTCAGGAAAGTGAAGATGTAGTTGTCTTTTCTTCATTCCCAAACTTCACA